AGCGACGTCCCTCAGCGGAGCCGACTTCTAAAATTCCGATTTTGTGCTCCGCTGCTCTATCAGTTGCCATTAGTGGCTGACAGAGGCCCACCCCCCGCCGTCTATCTGCCCGAATATGGCCTTTGATTCACTTCTCTGTATGTCCTACCTTCCAGAATGTGGTCGGTTTTCTGTTCAGAGTTGCTGCTATGCTTATCTTCAATCTCCTGTTGAGTTCGTAGGTGTTCAGAATGGTTTGATCCCTATCTAGCTGAATTCCTGGGACCAGAGGAAATTTAGGTCTCCTACTCCTCCGCCATCTTGCTCCTCCCCCCTATTTTGTTTTTTGCTTTTAAATTATTTTTCTGCCTTTCAGAAAGGTTCATAGTTTTGTTTTAATGGTAACTTTTGTATTTACATCTTTTTAAAGCTCTCATTTCACTGTTTTCTTGTTTAACTTACTAGTTTGTTTGAAAGGTGGTCTTTATTACCTATCTTGTATACAGTAACCAATATGTGTATTTCACTTGTCACTTCTACTCCCTCTCCTTCCATTTCTTATTCCATTATTTCTGCTTTCTTTTTGTCTCAGATCTATAATTTTATACATTAATGTGTTATTCATCATTAATGTGTGGTGGGTTTTTTTGATTGAATATTTCCCAGTTATGTTTTGCTTGAATAAAGTTTATGCTTTGGTGAATTCTTTAAAAAGAGCTCTTTAATGTGAAATTCCCCATGTTCTTGTATGTTTACAGCTTTTTCTATAGACCTTATATGCAAAAGCCAGTGTTGCTGGGTATAAAATTCTTGGTTCATAACTTTTTCTTTTTTTTTTTTTAAATTTTATTATTATTGAATTGTTTGAAAATATAGCTCCATTATTGCCCTGTTTTGTATGTTGTTTTGAAGAATCTGATGCTAGTCTAATTTCTTTGCCCTTTTAATTAATTTGATCATTTTGCCTGTAGGCCTAGGGGATTTTTTTCCTCTTCATCTTTTAGGTCTGGTAGTGTTTACCAACATATGTCTTGTGTTTTGTCCTCCCAGGTGTATTTTCTCAAGTACTCATTTTATCTAGTGCACAATAGTTCTGTACTTGTGTTCTGTTTCTTCTCTTTCAGGGACTTGCATTATACACGTGTTATTTCTTCTTTGCATGGCTTCCGTTTCCACCACTTTCTCTCTGACTCGTCTTTCTTCACCTCATTGTTCTTATCTTGGTTGTCTTCCTGCTTTTCTTCAATGCCCTGATTAAATCTTCAATGCGGCTTTTCTTTCCTGTGTACTTCGTAATTTGGACTTCCATTGTGAGATAAATTTCTGCTCTTTCCTTAGTTCAATCAACTCTGTTTTCATTTCTTCCTGTTTTCCATACATTTTTGTCTTAATTTTTGAGTGTCTGACTCAAGCAGTTATTTATACCCCCAAATTCTTGTTTTAGTGTATTTAATTTAGTCTTGAAGTATTATGTTAACCTTCTTCTGCTGCTGCTTCTTGACTTTCTTTTTGAGGAAAAGGGAAAACGGTTAGATTTTCATCTGTTCGACTGTATTGAATGGTTTCCTGATTTTGTGGGGGACAGCAATAATTCTCTGTAGCTTTATTTCATTTTTTTCTGTTACTTTTTGTGGGTTTTTGGTTGTTCAGAAGAATTTGTAGGTTGTCTTGGTGCCCTCTTCTGTTAGTGCAGCAAAGTGCAGAGTTTTCAGTGAAATTTTTTGTGTTTTTTGGATTTTTTTTTTTTTTTTGGTGAGGTGGGGAAGGGAATGATTTTATAAATCCTCCAAGTGTTTAGGTTTGCTTTATTTTATGGAGCTCTAAGTTTTCTCTTCCGCTTTTTTTTACTCCTCCCCACCCAGTTGCCAAAGGATGTCTTTTGTAATTTTCATCTTTTTCTCTTCCCTTATAACCATTCCTTTTGAGGACTGACTGTCACTTTTAATTGGTCATGCTGTCCCTTTCTTGTCCGTAGTCACATCTCCTAGAATACTTGTAGTACTTTCACACTTATGGCACTTACTCTTTCTGTGATTTTAGATCAACTTCAATACCTCACTAGTTCCCCTTTTCTCTCTTCCCCTCTATTTTTCTCAGCTTGCCCTGGCTTATCTCAAAGGTAATAAGTGGGATGGGAATATAATAGTTCCTTTTCTCTGGGATTTATTTAACTTGCCTGCCTTCCTTCCTTCCTTCCTTCCTTCCGTCCTTCCTTCCTTCCTTCCTTCCTTTTTACCTGCAATCATTTTAAAATGTGGGCATTGTCTGTTTCATGTGAGGGCATGGTGTTTATTTGCTCTTTTTGTTCTCAGTTACTTTTAGAATAGGTGTTGAAAGGCATAGACTTTGGCAGCTGCATTGTCTTCAGCTCTCATAGGACTAATTTGAGTTCTAGGATGGTAGAATTTTTTTCTGAGAAGATTTTGGTTTGATTTGCTGGGCACTTAGAGGAACTACCAGTCTGTGATTGCCTTAGTCCATGTTCACAGCCCGAGGTTCTCTCTCTTGCCCAGGTAATGTGACCCCTAACTGCAAGTCTGTACAAGTATATTGTATTCATCCTTATCACGGGATAAGTCCTTTAGGACTATTTATTCGATAGCCCAACTTGGTCAGCCACTGTGGACTTTCACTTGAGCCTCATTTGCCATGGTAAGCTGTCATAACCAACATTCAACTTTTCAGTTGATACATTGGATATGCAATATTTTCAGTGTTTCTCTCTGGCTTATGCTGGTTTTTTTTTTTTTTTCTGGTTTTGTGCTTTCTTGTACAGTTTTAAGTTATTTGTCTCTATTGTGTTCTATGCTTTTAAGAATTTTTGTATATTCTAGTAGAGTTATGAGGTTCTAATTATTCAGCCCAATATTACTGGAAACAGCAGTTGACTTTTTTTTGTTAAAACATTTAAAAAATTTTATTTCTTTGGACATTAGGTGGAAAGAATGATAGATTCATTTGCTCAGTTCTCCGTCTTGAGTCCTCTCCTAGAAGGTGAAGATCTACTTTGTTGTTAAAGATGGGGACACTTTATTTAAGTTGTAAAACAGCTTATGACTAATAACAGATGTGATTAATAATGATGATTGTGATGATAATCAAAATTATTTAGCCATTGCAATGTGCTATGCTTTTCATATATTATTTTATTTAATTATCACAAAGTCTCTTAATTTAGTGTTATTATTTCTACTTTACAAATCATTACCTGAAACTTATCTACCGTAATACTTGGCCTGGTTCACCCGGATAGTAAATGGAAAAAATATGTCTCAGGTCCTGTCCTGGGCTTTGGAGATAACAAGGTTAAGCAAAGTCCAACATGCTTCCTGCCTTCATGGACTTTACAGAATTTAATTCTTGGAATATACTTTCTTACATAGTCTCAGGTCATACTGTAAGGACTCTGTAGGCTGGTCAGGAATATAATTTTAGAGTCTGAAAGCCTGATTCACTGATATTTGCACTAGCATTGAAGATAATGTCTTTTTTGAGGAAATGACTGTAAGTTAAGCCAAAGTAAAATGAAGAGATGAGAAAAGATTAGAACAGTGTCTTTTAATTCCCTAAAGACTCTCCATTACATGTAGCACAGTGCTTTGTTCAAAGTCGGTAGTAAATGAATGTTAGTTTCAGTATGTTCATTGACTAGAAGACTTAACGGATTTTATTCCCACACTATGTTTTTTCATGTAGGCTGGCCAGGATACTATTTTTATTTATGCATGTTATTCCTCTTGGTTTACAGTTATTTGCTGGCATGAAGGATGGAGAAAGCCTACAGCTCTTTGAACAGAGTTCTCGCTCTGCCTATAAACAAGAGACACATACCATGGAGGCCATGAAGCTCATTGAGTTTGACCTTAAGCAAACACTTACCAAACTTGTGACACATATTTTTGGAGATGGTAGGTATCAAATGCCTTTGTCTTTCTTTGGGGGATTAAATATTTAACAAATACCCTCTTTCTTGAAGTCATTAAGTCTAGGTGTGCCTAGATTTTTTTTAGTCTAAGTTGTGGCTTAGTGGTTTTCATCCTCTGTGAGGTAGAACTTAGGGATTTGCTGGTTCATTTCACTTGAGGAGCAGGAGGACATGAAAATGGAATTAGCTTGAGAAAGAAAATGATTACAACCTTTGATAAGAATGATAATGGATTAGGATCAGTGGAGAGAAAGTCTACTGGCTGATTAGTATTATTTTATTACTACATTATCATTAATACAGTACTTGGATTGATGGGGCAAGATTCTCAACCATGTGAGTTGGCCCAGTGGAAAATTTTGTATGTTGGCAAACTGATTACTGTTATCAATAGCAAACATATTAACAGTGAATTTCCTGGAGGCAGAACAATCTTTTTAAGACGTGGATTCTCACTTTAGTCATTTACTCTCCCTTATATCTCCAGGATAATTTTTTGTCTGTAATGCCCCCCACCCCCTTCACTATTTCTAATTTACTTGAGATAGTACTTTGCTTATTTTTAGAAACATGTAAAGAGAAGGTTAGGGGATTTTTTTTTTAATTGTGACCTGTATTTTATTTTTTAATTTATTTTATTTTTTAAAGATTTTATTTACTTAACTGACAGAGAGAGAGAGAGAGCACAATCAGGGGAAGCAGCAGGCAGAGGGAGAGGGAGAAGCAGGCTCCCGGCCGAGCAAGGAGCCTGATGCGGGGTTCAATCCCAGGACCCTGGGATCGTGATATGTTCTGAAGGCAGACGCTTAACAGACTGAGCCATCCAGGTGCCCCAATCGTGACCTATTTTTTAAAGGATGTTTAGAAGACAGAAGCCTAGCATGGTTAGGATTCTCTTTTATTCTCCTACTATTCTTACAAAATTTTTTAAGGAACAGCTTTATTGAGTTATAATTGATCCAAAATAAGCAATACATATTTAAAATGTATAAGCTGCTAAGTCAACATTCAGTAAACTGAACATATGTACACACTTTTATGAGTTTTGACCTATGTATGCACTTATGAAACCACCAGCAGAATCAAGATAATGAACATGTCTATTGCCCAAAAAAGTTTCCTTCTGTTCCTTGGTAATCTCTCCTTCCTGCTCTTCCTTACATTTCCTTATCCCAGGCCATCAGTGATCTACTTTCTGTTACTATTGATTAGCTTATACCTTCTAGATTTTTATAAATGGAATCCTATAATATGTACTCTATTTTTTGGGGGGGTGAGGCTTACTATAATTATTTTAAGATCCATCCATATTGTAGTATATATCAGTTGTTCATTTCTTTTTATTGCTCAGTGGTATTCCATTCCATAGTTTATTTATTCATCTATACATTCATATTTGTTTATTCGTCTACCCATTGATAGACATTTAGATCATTTCCAGTGTTTCACTATTACAAGTAAAGCTATGCACATTCATGCACAAGTCCTTGTAAGAACACATGCTTTTATTTTGCTTTGGTGAATACCTAAGAGTGGAATGGCTACACCATATGGTAGTTGTATTTTAACCTTCCAAGAAGCCACTGAACTATTAGCTGATGTGGTTGTGCCATTTTACATTCCTTTCAATAGTGTATGAAAATTCCAGTTGCTCTACGTCTTCAACAACACTTAGTATGTTCAATCATTTTATTTTTATTTATTTATTTATTTTTGAGGGGAGAGAGAGAGAGGTGAGTAGGGGCAGAGGGAGAGGGAGAGAGAATCTTAAGCAGGCTCCATGCTCAGTGTGGAGTCTGAGGTAGGACTTGATCTCATGACCCTGAGTCTATGACTTGAGCTGAAATCAAGAGTCAGACACATAATTGACTGAGTCACCCAGGCACCCCTGGTCAATCATTTTAATTTTAGAGATTCTAATAGGAGTATAGTGGTATGTCAAAGAAGCATTCAGCATATATAAAGAATGCCTCCAAATAAACAAGCAAAAAATCAACCTAAGAGAGAAATGTGTAGACATTTGGTGAAGGTGACAAATGGTGTAACTAGAATGACTAATGAACATAGGAAAAGATGTTCACCCTTATTAGTAACAAGGGAAAAGCAAATGAAAACCACTGTGAGTTATTGATTGTCATTTTTCATATGTGAAAACCTACATGCCTAACATTTGTAAGTTTTGACAAAGATAAAGGAAAAATAGGATGAAATACACAGTGTTGGCCCTATGTACGAGTCTCAGTTATCATTCCCCAAGCTGGAAGTTGAGTGTTCACCTACTATTAATTTATGTCTATTTTTTTGTACCTCCAGATTTCCCTACTTATGTGTGAATTCAAATTGTATTTACAAAGGTTCTTGTTCTAATTCATTAAGCCTCTGCTGCCCTGTTTTAGCAAGGTTTATTAGAGCATCTCCACTGCTGTATTGTAAAATGAATAGTTAATGTGATATTTAAGAAACCACTAAATAATCCTGTGTATTCTTTATATTCCTGTCCTTTTAAAAAGAGTACATCAACTTCCTGCTACTGTCTATTTCCGGGAGGCAGAAAACGGTATTAGGGAGGAGGTACAAATCAGGCTTCCAAGTATGTTCATAGTGTTTTATTAAAATAAAAAAGATATGAAGTTAAATATGACAAAATGTTACGATTTCATAAAACTGAATGCTGGGTGCATGGATGTTTGCTATTTTCTATTTCTGTCTCTTGGTATGAAATATTTTGTACTAAAATGATGTAATGTAATAATGAAACAGGTTTCAGATAGAGATTGCTGATAGGAAAATCCTATTATAACCAGTTTCTCTTTACCTTCATGATAAAAGAAAGGATTTGTGATATTTCTAGCAGTACTATTAGCCATTTAACACTGGAACGCAGGGAGATGGATTGTGTTGTTCAGGCCATTTTCAAGGCAGGTTAGGGTAGGAGGGATGGTAGAATTGGAGGGAGAGATAGCGTTCCTTCTCCAGTAGCTTTACAAAGAGATTGAGGACCATTTGAATTTTCCCGTTGTCAAACCATGGAAAGAATTGTTTTTAGAGCCCTCTTTATTTATGCCTTGCAACACATTTGTATCATCAAATAATTTGCTATTGATGAGGTTTAGGAACTGCCACCTCGTTAGATTACTGAGTGGTTCTGAATAGGCAGGTAGCCTCCTTTCTTAAATGCTAAGTATTTGTGTTTCTCCTACTTGGTTAGTTTTCCTTATTTTCTTCCCCTGTCACCTGGTTTAGTCCTCCCAGCCCCTTTACCCTTCAACTGGATAATTCTTTCTTTCTTTCTTTTTTTAAAGATTTTATTTATTTATTTATTTGAGAGAGCGAGAATGAGAGAGAGAGAGAGAGCACATGAGAGGGGAGAGGGTCAGAGGGAGAAGCAGACTCCCTGCTGAGCAGGGAGCCCGATGCGGGACTCGATCTCGGGACTCCAGGATCATGCCCTGAGCCGAAGGCAGTCGCTTAACCAAGTGAGCCACCCAGCTGCCCTGGATAATTCTTTCTTATTATTTTTTTTCCCAACTGGAGAATTCTTATTTATCCTCTAGTGTCAACTCAGATGTCCACTAACCAGGAGCCTTTCCTGGTGCTCATGCTGAGTCCCAGAGGCGCTGCCTCTTCTATGTGCTCATCTAAGCTCTCTTTGGGGGTGGGTTTTTATTTTTCGGAGCAGGAATCACCATTGGATTTCTGACACATTGCAGCCATCACAATATTGAATAAGTGAGACATAATCGCTTGTTTTCAAGGAGCCATGAAGTTTGACTCCTCTCACTGGGAAACAGAAGTGTTATGGGAGCATGTAGGAGAGGCACCTCCTCTGAGATTTGGCATGTGCGCCAGGACAGGTTCCCATTTGGAGGACGTCAGAGCTGACACTAGTCATTGAGAATAAGCACACAGCGCTACAGCATTAAGGAATGAAGAATGGAAGAGAAAGGAAGAAAAATGGTTAACAGAAAAAAAATCTCATGTCCACTGAGAGATGGTAGTGTGCAATCAGAAAAATTAAATTTAAGTTCTCTTTTCTCCACTTTGAAATCTTTAACAGGTCAATTAGTGCTTTAGGCCTCAGTTTTCTTCGAACTTTTAAAAAGCCAAGGCAGTAATACTTGTTTCCCCTGAGAATAAAATGAGGTAATATATGTGAAAGGTACCTTGTAAGGAGAAAATAGTAAATAAATGTGTAAATATGAAAAAAATAAAGGGAAGAAAAATTAGGACATGGCAATAAAAACAGGGAGCTTATGAAGAAATACAGTACAAAGAACAATAGTTATAGTTGATTTGTCTTTATTTTGTCTCATGAAATGAGATATGGCTTTCTACCAGACTAGCACAGCAGTCAAATGGGTGTCAATGGTAGCTTCATGTCCTCTCTGAGCGCCAGCAAATATTTTAAAAAAGAAAACAATGTTCTAGACCTTGTATAGATTATAAAACCTTCCCAGGGGCCTAGGGGATTATTTCTCTGAATCTGGTGCTGGATTTCCTTTACGTTATTATTTTTAATATTTGTATTTGAATAGCATTCAAAATCATGCATTGAGGTGAAAGTTTCCCAGTAGCAATTTTCCTTATAAGAAAACATTTCTCCAGTGTATGATTTCTCTGCCTGTGGTGCCTATCTTACATGATGGGCATGTTCATGGCCAAGAACTGAGAATCTTAACTTTTGAAAGAGCAGTGAAGTTGCAGCCTCTCTATTTCAGACAAACATTTGCTTTATTTTTGAAATGCTATTAGCCTAGACTTTTATGTTTCAGGTTTCATTACAGATGAGAGTCGCTATTTTATAAATCTTCAAAGTCACATTTCGTTTGTACGGCTGAGTTGGCAGAATTGTGGAATATGGCATTGAAGTAAAAAACCAACTAGTTTGGAGAATACATGTTGTTCAGTGCACTAAAGTCTATCTGTGAGAAAAGCCTTTTATTTTTTCTTTCCTTCCAGCCACGAGATTATTTTTAACCCCAT